TCTTACCTTTGACGGAGTCTGAGATTACAAGTGTTTTCGGCAACGGAGAAGCGCCGGTGGGATCAATTTTTGTGTTCACAGAAGATGATAGGATTGAGGTACCAATTCTTGACACGAAATAATCACTACAGAGAATATTTCAGGATATCATGATCGATACCTTACTACAATGACCATCACCATTAGAAGTGGTTCAAGTTGCCCTCACTTCATATCAATTTGAGCCAATCTTGGGTTACTTTGGGAGGATTTAGCAGAATACACATGACACAAAGTTCCAATTCAGTTCATTAGTGTACCAAGAGAAAGTTGGACTAATATCGATGCATGCTTGCAAGTGGAGGAAACACTTTAGATATTTTGTGAGACAGTGCAGTCGCTAGTGAGATCCAAGTGCTTCTTGCGCTGCTGCAGTCGAAGAGCCTTCCACTTTGGGATATAAGAACAACTCCACTTTTAATATAGCAAACTTGATTCCATTCTATGAGGATATAGAAGCTTCGATAGTTGATGTTGAAGCTCTTATAACTTTGGGAAACTGATACGGGAGCCACCCCACAATGGTGCCATTCACGACCTCTACTACAGTGCCGTGGGAGATTGCTGCTCGGACTGGTCCAAAACGACCGGTCGACACTTTCATTTTCGTAGATTTCTTTCTTATTTGGAGTGGGGTCCACTCCTATTTACCCCGAGTCTATAAATATGTTGTTTTCTTATTTTAGGATAGTTTTTCTTCGCATTTTCTGGCATGTCAGCCGTCAACATCCAAGTTTTCTCTTATAAGGCTGAATCCAACAACGGGGTGCTCCAATTGTATCCTTTCCAGTTGGTGATTATCCTCGACCTCCCCACATCCTCCGCAGCCTTCCCTTCGCTGTCGGCACTGCCTTCCCTGCTTCTGTTCTGGAAACAGCCCTCTCGGCTGTTCTTGCTGCAGCTTTCCTCGCTTCCTAGTAGCCGGCCTCCCGCCATCCTGGTTGCCTCCCTGCTCTACCATCCCAGCACCTTTCTCCACCTTCTCCCAGCCTTCTGCCTTGATGTACACTGCTGTTCCAGCCCCCTGAACAATATCCCTGCCACCTAGTTGTTGTTCCGGCATTTCCCATGTGCTGCCATTGCTGTTCCAGCCGCCCCTAACCATGCCCCATGCTGTCTTGCTGTTGTCTCAGCCGCCGGAGCCACCTCCCCATATCCCCCAGCTGTTGTACCCACCGCCCAGAACCTCCCCTAGCCCCTGTTTCTATGTTGCCCACATTGAGAAAAAAATTTACTACATCTTAAGAAAGTCTTTGAAAATTACTAATCCAAATAATTGTATCTAAATCTAAAGAAGTGCTGTTTTGTTACCATATTTGTTATATTTTTCTTTTTTGTTGTATCTATTAACGAGCTATATATTGATCTTGATGAGGTTAGAGTAATTAGATATTGGCCAACAGCAAATATCATTTACGGTTTTCAGAGTATTCATGGTTTGGCGACTTTTTACTGATAATTTATTAATAGATTTAGTAAATAAGCACCTTAGCAAAAGAGAATTTAAGTGGATACAATCTGCTAAGTGTGCCTTCGATGACGTTAAGCAGAAACTAAAACGCGTACTCTGATTATTTGATTTCAGTAAGATTTTTATGCTCTCATATGATTTGTCTAATGTTGGAATTAAGGGATTTTTAAGTTAAGCTGGATATATAACTTCTTACTTTAATGAGAAATTAAATGACGCAAAATTGAAATACTCTAATTATGATATTGAATTCTACATTTATGTATAACCAATTCAATATTTGTGGCTTTAATTGTTGTCTAAGGATTTTTTCCTATGCTTAGATCATCAATCTAACTCCTATGAAAAATGGCATCAACATGATAAGTGGGTTGCATTCTTATAATAAGAATTTGCATGTGTGTTAAAAGACAATTGGAGTTGAAAATAAATCTACTGATGTCTCAAGTAGAAATGTTGTCATCTTACCCACCATGTAGGCCAAGTTTTATTTCATTAAAGATGATTATGCCAAAAGTAAGAACTTCAATTAGTTATATCTTGTTTTAACCAATACCTCACCTATGATAAGGATTTTATGATTAAGGGTGATTTTCTTCTTAAAGAAAGTCTACTTTTTATTCTTGATTCATCTTCTATGAGATTTTCTTGTCTTAAAATTATATTTAGATGGTTTTGTGAGGAATTTCGGTTTGATATAAAACTACAATCATAATTGAGGATAGCTATTAGAGGCTAGCATGAATTATGATATCCACATATAGTATCATGATATAGAACATTGTTAAATGTTTAAAAGAAAAAGCATAATGTGGGGCTTTTTACATTGTTAATTATTCCATTAAACATGTGGCTTTGTAATCGTTGGTCACTTATCAAAAATAGTTTATTTCATTTTGTGCTTTTAAACTGTTCATGTCTCTCATACAATGAAATTATACAGTTAAGAAGCAAGTTTTAACTAAAACTACTGTATTTGATAGATGCATACATTCATGAGTTGCTTTAAGAAAGTTCTATATGGCATGGCCCGATCCAGAGCTTGGAATTAACCAAGGCAGGAGCAAACACTCGGACGGTGATAATCATTCTTTTCTATTATTCATTTTCTATCATTAACAGTTTATAATTTAAATAAAATGAAATAGCCACTAAAAAAATAAATTAAAGTAATGTAATTAAAATTTTACCTTAGCTAAGTTTGTTCACGTCTTCTATATACATTTTCTCTTATAATATTCATCTTTTAATTAAATGATTAAACATGTAATGTCAGTTTAAAACAACAGTGAGTTAAAAAGACCAATAAATATACTTCTAAACCACAATAATATAACAAAAATGAAGCAATATGCATGTTAGTTAAACTTTAATAAATCAGTTTAAAAATATTTGGCAATTTATATTTATGGTAATGATTAATCATGATATTTCAAAACTTATTTTATTTAATATTATATCTTTTTCATATCTATATCATTTTATATACAACCGTTGCAGGAGCACCGTCTAAAATTATATCATTTAAGGTATTTTAATATCAATATATTTTTTTTCATGTAAGTGCACAAGTGATGCCCAAAACTTTTGCGAAGTAGGTAACAATCAAACAAATAAACATCACGCTTAAGTAATATACGAATTTGATTATGTACGTCGATTCCACGAGGAAACTAGTAGATTTCCTAATTGTTGAAGTTTTAGTTTACTAAACACTAAGTTTACTGTGAGGTAATTCGAGTTGCAGATTTTGAAAAGTTACTGTTCCTAACAATGAAAATCTAACTATATTTTTGGAGTTTCTTAGAGATGACAAAATATCATGCTTCTGTGCTCAGATTGTGTGAATTCTCAAAAGCCTTCCAATTACTTTCCCTTAAAAATAAGGGACAATGAAACCCCAAGTTAAAATATGTACATGATGTTGATCCTATTGTGAACATGCGCTTTCCAGTATTGACTTTCTTTTCATGTTTGGTTAATCATTTCTAGGATCCCAATTCAACCAACATCTTGAACAATCTTATTTTAACTTTTAAGGGATTTCTTCTATTGAGTATTTTCTAGTGTTTTCCTTTTATTCCTCCTTACAGTGACTAATTCTATGCTGATATCTTGATACAATCCCAACGGTTTATGCAATAGTCCCAAAAGGTCACTGATGGCTACAGTATCAAGGACATTTTTCCCTTGTCTTCTTCTTGTCCCGGAATAGTTTTTTGAAGGAATCATTAGTTGCTCCTGTCTGTTGACCTCATTTTTAGTGAGGTCTTAGCC